GCCCAGCAATTGTGATGTCCAGTCTTAGACTTCTACCATGAGCCTCTGTAGTGCCTTCTCAAAAATCTAAAACCTGTGATAAATTAAAACAAGAAGAGCTTTGAAAAATTCTGAGGATGCTTTCCCAAGCCAGCCAGTCAAGAAAATGCTCTTTGCTCTAATCATTAAAGGGCAGGTACCTAGACGGACTTATGTCCATCAAATAAACCGACAACTTTCTAACATTTTAACTAGCTATTTATAAAATAAATGTATAGCTATAAACTCTTTATAAAATAAATGTATAGCTATAAAGGAAATTTCCATTCATAAGGGGACTCCTTCTCTATAGCTAACTCTTATAATAGGGAAAGACGTTAATTTATCTCTGCATAACGAGCCTCACCTCTTATCATTTTCTCAGCTTGGTCTTCACCCTTCTTTGTCTCAGCAAATAGTGGTATTTAGAGCTAAGACCTGTTTCTTTAAAAATGTAAAATTCCTACCTTCTTTCAGCAAAGTGTTATACTTTAAAATGCACATTTAGGGTTGCCTAGCTGTGGCGCTGAGTCCTGCTCCGAGCTACTCCACGGTATGTAGAACAGCATTTTCAGGCTGTGCCCAAACCTTTGTTGCTCCATTTTGAAAAGCAGTAGTTTGCCATAGTTACTCCATCTCAAGTTTAGGTGCTGAGAGGAAATGACTCCACGCCTTGTTTGTACAAGGAAAAAGCCACCATCTGCCTGGTGCAACCACAAGGCACCCTTGATAGATACCTTAATCATGCTGTGGTGGCCATCCCACTGCCCTCCCCCAACTTCTCTTCAGGGAACCTAATTAATTAACCATAGGTCCTTCTCTGTGGGGTTGTAAATAGCTATCTCCAGGAGCCCCACCACTCTCTCTTGCTTTGTAAACTTCCAGGGTCAGGCTTTCATGGCCAGAGATAGATGCCTGTGAACTCCTTAGAAATGTAGCCATGTCACTTAATTGCTAGTATAATTTTTTTTTTTTGGGCGGGGGTACCAGGGATAGAACTCAGGAGCACTTGACCATGGAGTCCCATCCCCAGCCCTATTTTGTATTTTATTTAGAGTCAGGGTCTCACTGAGTTGCTTAGTGCCTCACTTTTGCTGAGGCTGGCTTTGAACTTGTCATCCTCCTGCCTCAGTCTCTGAACGGCTGGGATTACAGGCCACCATGCCCGGCTGCTAGTATAAATTTTAGCTCACTTTGCCAATCAACTGTTGCTTCAGCTATAACCTTGTAGGCTTATTCTTAGAACTATAGCTCTTAGGGAGATAAACTCAAGTCATCTTGAGTTACTGCTGCCTGTGGGAAAGGGCACTTCATGTAACACTCTCAAGTGTTTTACTGTCTTGTTCTTTCCCTGTGAACTACTTACCGTAAAATTTCTGTATAGTCTTTGGTCATGAAGGTCAAGAATCCCAACCCACCAGTGTTGTACTGGTTAAAGAATGATGTTAAAATCTCTTATAAAGAAATTTGGTAGAACTTCAGAGTGCTAGCTCATCCAGGTTGGCAGGCGTAAATAAACATGAGTTCTCCAACCCACCCCTTGCTTGGTCTCTTGCTGAGCTATTTTCTCCTAACAATTCTAATAAGAATGACCACCTGTGAACCCGTGGGTGAATGCCCAGGCCTATCAAACTCACAGTGGGAAACCAGGCCTAGGAGCTAATCAAATACATCAGACCACCCCAATGAAGCAATGCCCTCACTTGAGACCCCCAAAGGGAGGTGCACCCCTAGACTGAACTTGGTGGCACCCTGGCCCCGTAACCTGGTCACTCCTTCAGAGCCTTAACCAGGAAAATCGCCACAGCTGAAACCTCCAAATCTCTGTCCTTCAGCTACAGCAGAGTGCCTCGTCTCCTGCCCTTGACGACCATGCAAGTCCCACTCCAAGCTGACATCGCAAACTGATAACATGGCTCCCTGTCCATGAGCCACGTAGTCAGCCCACTAATCCCCACCAAGAAGCTGGGTGAAGCCCTGGTGGAGCTGCAGAGTGGTGGCCCAGGCAGGCTGGGGCCAGGTGGTGAGCATGGCCACAGAGCCCACCCTGCTGCACAGGCCTGAGGGAGGCTTGGTGGGCCAGGGCACGCCAGCCTCTTACCCCATGGTGGCTGGTCGGAGCCAGTGGGGACATCCACTCCAGGCAGTGCTGCATCCACAACCTGAGGATCTCAACCTTCCACTTCCTGAGGAGCTGGGGGAGGAGGCCGGCGGGGATGGGAGTGAATGGAAGACCTGAATGAAAGTTCAGATTCAGCCAATAGGGGCTGGGGGTGTGGCTCAGTGGTAGAGCACTTGCCTACCATGTGTGAGGCTCTGGTTTTGATTCTCAGCAATGCATATATTTAAATAAAATAAAGTTCCAGTGACAACTAAAAAAATAAAATAAAATTGAGGCTTGGTCTCCTTTCTCTTAAAAAAAAAATGAGAGTTGACCAATAGCCTTGGTATGTTTTCAAACCCTGATCAACATAAATCTGGACCAATTGTGTCGATCCAAGTGCTATATAAACCCACAGATTAGCACACTCAAGTGGCAACCCCTACCTGGTTGCCTCTGACCTGTGGGGGTTCTACTGCTAATCACACTCAAATATATCCTACTTTTACATTCACTCATCTTTATCTGTGGATTTTATTCTTCAAATTTGGGAGACAAGAACCCAGAAAGAAGAAATTGGCAGTGAGTCGCGGGGTCTGCTGCAACACTGAGGGCACAGCCCCCTAGTTAGAGCTGCAACTCTGCACATGCAGACGCCACCCACCAGCAGAGGCAGGGAAACTCCAGTGTCACTGACAGTCCAAGCTGACACTGTGGAAGTGCCCCTGACCTCTTCTGCTGGCCGTCTTCAGGAGCAGGGGCACTCCTAAGGGCAGGAGTTCAGATCATTCTTTTGCAGATTATCATTATCATTCTGCTTTTGCCTTGTTTAAATTGTTTTTGTGTATCCCAATGCTTCAGGACTGTAGGAGAAACTTAGAATTATGGGGGCCCAATGACTGAACACATCAAGAATTTGCCACCCATTTGTGATTGCACCCCACACACCTGAGGGTCCATGTTGCTGTCTACGGTTCAGCCCTGGCCTTGTAACTGCAGCCTGCTCTTTCCTTCCTACATGGGATGCCACTACCTAGGAATGAGCCTTTCTAGCCGCCTGGGACCTTCGGCTCTTGTCCCTTGAGAACCCTCTATCAGTCACCAATGCTTGACAGAGAGTGATTCTGATCAAAAGGGGGAAATGAGAAAGGATTTTAAAACGTCCTAAATATGAGGTCACAAAATTCTTTAGCCCAGAGGAAACATGAGGCACAGGACTCCAGTCCCCTGGGTCATGCTGACCCAGCAGGGCAGGTTTCTATGGACGCCCTGATGCCAATAATATGGTAAATGACAGTAGCCAAATGCATTTCCTGCTTAGTGTGACTCTTGCTTAGGTTTCATAACATGAGAGACCAACGAGCATCCTGTGCTATTCTGGTCAATCAACAAGATTATAACAAAGGGTTTGCTGCAAATTCCTGGTTCTTTTTTTAATCTGTAAAAACTCAGGCCTCTTGGGTGCCATTTGGGGAGACTTGCTCTGGGCAACTAGAATTTGCATTTTCTCTCCAGGTGGCCATCCTCATTTTGGTTTTAATTAATTCCTTGTTCTCATACTCAGAGTGGCTAGGCTGGCTTTTTAGGTTGACACCCACTGGTGTCCATGGACATAGTGAGGCCCCTGAGGGTTTGCCAATGGCGCACGCCCACGAACTTAGATCACGTGCCTGGCTCACAGTCGCCAGGCAATAGAGGCCTTCTGGATGAATTACAAATAAATCCAGGGTCAGGGGACATTCTATAATTCCCTGTCCTCCTTGGTCTTCCTTCAAACAGGAGAATCCTAAATGCCTTAAGGACCTAAGGGATACTTCCCCAAAGGCTCATGATCTGAGTTTTGGTCGGGCATCTTCAAAAATTGCTTTGGCTCTTCCTTCTGGGTTGATCGGAGTGAAAATTTGTGGCAACAGTTTACAGTAAGACAGGACTTGCTAATCTATCTCCAACAGACCTGGAGTTTGGGGGGGATGTCTTTCAGGGCAAAATGTACATATGGGAAAAATTGGGCACACAGCCTCTGTCAGTAGGAGGCCAGCCAGGGGGTGTGCTGAAGCTTAGTCTGGGGGAAAGAGGCATGTGGCGGCCCATCCTGCAGTCACAGTGGAGGGGCAGCACCCATTTCAGACCAGTGGGGAGAGTCAGTGGCTGAAAGACTCAGGCCTCATACAGAGTCAGAGAAAGCCTTGGAAGAAATAGGTGTGCTCACAGCTCAAGGACGACCGTTCTTGATTGAGGCATAGGCTTTATGAAATGTGCAGATGCCTCATTTACTAGGTAGCTGCGTGGTGGGGAAAAGCATTCTCTGGAAAATGGGACGAAGTGAAAAGGGGTGCTGGGGCAGCCACCGTCCCTGGCCTTTCCCCACTGGGGATCAGCCCGGCTTACTTTGCAAAGCACCCAACGCACTCTCCATTTTCCTGAGCTGCAAATGCACCTCCGGACTCCATCAAGGCTGTTTGCCTGGATCATAAACCCCAGGAAGTCCAGAGCCAGAGCTGCTGACCCTCCACTTGCCTCCTTGGAGCTGAGCACATGTGGGTCCCCAGATGCCCCTTCTTACTTTACCTGGCTCATGGGTCCCAGTGGGGGCAGACATAGTGGCTTCTTTCAAATTCCCTGATGCTTGTAGTTTGATCGCCATATCTGTGGTCTGAATCCTAGCCTGTGGGGGGACACAGAAATAGAACAGAAAGGAAACGGGCCTCCTGGGTGACTTTCCCCCTCCCTTGTACGGGGCCTGGTTCAGCTGGGGCCTCAAGGTGGGGCGAGCATCCTGTGGCAGGGAGATCACCTTGGTTGATACCCTAGGGGTTTCTTTTTTCTTTTCTTTTCTTTTTTTTTTCCAGCAGAGCGGTGAAGGGAGGAAGAGTGTAGAGTCTAGTGTCCTGAACTGATTCAATTTCTGCTGAGGAAGGAGCGCGCGTGCACCCTTCCAGGCTCTGTGGACCCCGTGGACGGCAGCTGGCCGTGGGACAGGGCTCTGCTGGCCTCCTGTGCTTTGATGGCCCTTGGTGAGTGAGGTGAGTTGACCTGGAGCCTTCTCAGAGCATGAGAAGGGCCCCTGCCCCATGTCTGTGGCTAGAGTAGCTGTCACTTTCCCTGCTCCCTGGGATCCCTGCTATTCCCCTCTGGGCAGGACAGGTCAGGCCTGAGCCAGCTTCAGGTCATGAGTGAAACCTGCTGATAGGACTGGGCTGGCTCACGGGTTGTGCCCTGGGGGGGGGGTGTTACATTTCAGAGGCCTTTTGGAAGCCCCTATGCGGTTGCACAAACTGATTCTCCTGAACAGAACTGAACCGTACCTTGCACTCCTCTGTCACACCTATGAGACTCTGGAAAGGCCGATCACCTTGTGAGGAAGGTCAGCATGGAGAGGCTCGCTTAGCTTTAAGGCATGAGTGATCAACATTAGGTCCTTTCCTAAGAGCAGAGGAGATGTTTAGGGGAGCAGGATGTTTTGTGCTTCTAGGGAGAGGACCTAGGGCAGGGGATGCAGAGAGGGGCTAAGGAACCACCTCTGGCCAGTGTGGCAGGAGTCTATGACACAAAATCCAATACCTGGGCTGGAGTTGGTCACTTAGCACCTCACTTTCTGACGTTTGTACCAGTGTCAATGAGTGAAGGTCAGGAGACAATAGCTGGGAGGGCAGATGACCCAGTGTGAGATGTTGGGGCTCATGAGCTTGGTGGCCCCTGTTTTAGGTTCATGTGGCTGTCTCGTCCTTGCCAACCTCCCTAGACCACTGCTGCCGTGACAACCCCACCCACTCCTCCTTGGTATGACGTCTGTGGCCTCCAGTGGGGCCAACATCCTGAGTACGGGCTTTGTGCCAAATACAAAGGAAAGGAAGAGGACCAGGACAGCGCGTCAGGGGCTCAGGCCTGCTGGGGGCCGACGTGTGATGACTGCGCGGAGTCCCCAGCAAGGGCCAAGTTAGCACCAAGGGCGCGGGCTCCATGCATGCTGCGGAGGTGGGAGGAGGGGCACTTAGCAGGCTCCAGGGGACGCAGTGAGTGGCAGTGAAGGGGACAGAGGCACGCCAGGCTGAGGAAGCAGGGGTGGTACCGAGTGCACTGAGGACCTGGCAGGGCTGAGGCTGGGAGGTGATGTGTCCTGTGCTTAGGAGCCAGTCCCAACCCTTTGCCCTGAGAGCCCTGAACAAGTCAAGAAACAGACTCACAAATTCCCAGCAGGCATCCTGCTCAGGTTGGCTCTAGAAGGTGCATGGACCCGTGGCTGGGACTGTCCTGAGCTGAACTTGCTCTTTTTGGGCTTGCCTTGCCTGGCTCAGGCTCAGAAGTGCCCTCCCTGTGCGTCCCACCCCGATCTTGCTGGGTCCTGCAGCTCAGCAGGGCTTGAGGCAGGATGGGTAGGGAGGGAAGGGAAGAGGAAGAGGAGCCTCCTCTAGGTTCAGAGGGTGGTGAGTGCTGGTGCTGGGTCCTGTCCTGGAAGAGTTTACTCTGAAGTGGTCACTTCACTGGGGACACTGTTAGCCTGCCCTTCCCTGGGACTCCCAGTGCACATCTACACAGGGTGACAGTGTGTGTGTGTGTGTGTGTATGTGATTAAAGAAAACCAGAGCTAGACAGTAGTTAAGAGTGGTAGAAACAGATTTCATTCAGAAACTATTGCTTAGGGGAGAAGAGACCTGGGTATAGGTAGAGCCGAGCTGAATTCCAAACACAGCCTGGACAAGTGGGGGTGTACAGCCAGGGAGTGGGTGGGGGGCCACGGAGGGGGAAATACTAAAAAGGAAACATGCAGTCGGGGTGGAGTTCTTGCTAAAATGTCCTGGCAGGATTCTTGCTAAAGGCAAGCCACGGTGCCCAGATGTAGAGAGTGGGGTGAAGAATTTGCCAGATATTGAGGTGATCAGATTTTCAGGGTGGGGACTGAGTAGAATTCTCTCCAAGGCTGGGTGATGCTGGCCCTGCAGGAATGGCTTGGAAGCCCAAAGTGGAGACCTAGTCAAGAAGTGGGCTTGGTGTCTGACGGGAGTTTGGTCCAGGAGCGTGTCTGTGCATGCGCATGTGTGAGTGTGTGAGTGTGTGAGTGTGTGTGTGTAAGGGCGGGGAGAGTTTGGGGGTTTGGGGCTGGCCCACAGGGAGGAGAGAGCAGCTCCACGTCCACTTCCCCTACCTGCATTTCTTCCGGCAGGGCTCTGGGGACTGCAGGCAGAGCTGGAGGGGAGTAGCGTTTGTCCTAGGGAATGGCTCCTGCAGGCTAGCTTTTCCAGGGAAGGCAGGAGATCATCCTGGGGCTGTTCCTCCCAAGCTACTGAGCAGAATTAAATCTCTGAGCTCAGAATTTCCGGCAAGGACTTTGGGAAAGACTGCCGTGGGCCCCGGGAGGGCCACACACCCTCTTTGCACCTCAGTGTACCACAGGGACAATCACATAGCTCTGACTCGCTGCAGGAAGAGCCTTGAGGAGACCCAGCCCAGCTCTGCCTCCTTCAGTCTGGGAACTGAGGATGGCAGGATGATCCTGATGGAGCTGGGAGAAATGGAGTTGAGGCCCACTCAGACCGGGAACAATGGGTTTGAAAAAGGAAATAGGAAAAGGCATACAAGCTGAGACAGACGACCCATAGGAAAAGGACAACATATTTGTACAGGTGAGGTCAGGAGGAAGAGAGAGGCCTAGGCAGATAGGGAAATAGCCCCCCGAGCAACTTCCTCGGCGCAGAGCACAAACAGCAGCTGCTGGGTTTTGCTGAGAAACTTACAAAAAGGTTATTTTTAAACTGGGACATACGTGACCTGGAGTCCACGGCCTTTCCAAAGAAGGAAAACGCCGGATCAATACTTTGATTGGACTAAAGGCTGAGTGAATGCCTCATGGACATGAGTGCTTACCCAGGCTTGGGCCAGGGGCTGACTTTCCCCAACCACAGATCCACAAAAGCCCCTGGACAAGAGTCCTTACTGGCAACCCTCTTGGGTCCCCTCCCAGAGGTGGCAGCTTTGCTTCATTTGCTTTATTAAATTCTTGTATTTTGTTTACTGGCTGCTGTCTGTGAATCCCATTCTTTGAATTTTCAAGAAAAAAAAAATCTACTAGACTCCATGTTCTGTGCCACACAGGCACTACTTAAAAACACACGCATGGCTAATGAGCAGGTGAGAAGTGCTCAACATCAGAAGTGATCCGAGAAATGCCTGCTAAATCCCCAAGAACCCCCCCCCCCACATTCACCATGGCCAACCTGGAAAAAGACTCGCGAGGCCAAGTGAGCAGCCAGGGTTCAGCCACCACAGGGGCATTGAGAAAAACCACTTTGACAAACTGACTGGTGGAACCTATTAAAATTAGACATGCACAGAACCTGTGCCTCACTAGTTCTACTCTGAGCTAAATGCTCGGCAAAATGCACACATTTAACATGCATAGCAGGACTGTACCTAATTGTCCCCAAATTGGAACCAACTTCCCTGTTCATCAGCAGCAGAAAGGATTCATCTCTGGTGCTGCATTCATAATATCAAGGCCCATTCTGCAACAAAGTACGGTCACACCCAACAATATGGGTAAAACTCACAAACCATCATTAAGCCTGAGAAACAATATGTTGTGTATTTTTTTTTGTGTGTGTGTGTGGTGCTGGGGATTGAACCCAGGGCCTTGTGCATGCGATGCAAGCTGAGCTATATCCTAGCATGTGGTGTGATTTTATTATGCAAAAGTCCAATGGCAGGCAAGACCAAGTTGTGATGTAGGAGGTAGGAGAGGGGTTAACCTAGGGTGGGGATAGAGGTTGCAGGGGCTCAGGAGAGCTCCAGGAGGCTGATGGGGTTGTGATTCCCAATCTGGGTGCCACTTTGTGAAAATCCTCAATCTGTACTTTTAAAAATGTGTACACAGTTTCATTTGTATGTGTTCTGTTAGGGATGGGGGTGATTTTGCCTGCCCTGGAATTGGGGTGGACCGTGACTTCCTATACCGATAGAAGGTGGTGAAAGTGATGAAGTGACACTTCACAGGCTACATGAGAAAAAGTGACCCGGTGTTTTAAGAGAGTGTGTCATAGAAATTTTGAGGTTCGATAAGGCCAACAGATCAGCAGACAATTGCCTTTACAAAAAATTGGTTGCTTACAGCCCCCAGGAGGAGAGGGCATGCCATGCCATGCTGGGTCACATGGGGAAGCACCAGGTGGTCAGGTGGCAGAGGGAGCAGAGGGAGAATGTGAGCAACAGTCGTTTCTTGTGATTTCCTGGGTAAGCAGGCTTAGGATTGGTTAGTTTGAATCATTTCAGCGGGCTCTGAGTTCATATCATGGGTGCTGTCCCTAGTTGTTGGGTACCTGGCCTAAAGGGCGAGAGTTTGAAAAAGGAAGTGGTTAATGGGAAGGGCCCTGAGTTGGGTGGTTTGCTCTGGATGAGTGTGCTCATGGGCAAGTCGGACTAGCTCTAGGAATTGGCTGACCTGAGAGGGTTGGTCCCCTCACGGTCAGCAAGACCCAGAGATGTCAACATATCAAATGCAGAAAAGATGGATAATTTGTGCAGCTTCCACCATTTTGGGGGGCCTCAAGTTGTAGGTAAGAAGTCTAATTATCTGCAGCTGCCGTGCTGAGAAAGCCTAGGTCTCGTGGACAGGCCACGGGCAGCTGCTTTGGTTGTAGCCCCAGCAGAGCTTCCAGCCAGCCTTGTGCATCAACCACCTCACATGACTTCACATGGGACTGAAGTCAACCCTGGACGATTCCAGCAACTCCCAGCTTCTGTCTTTTCACCTGAGATTCTCAACATGGGGGAGCAAGCAGGGCCATTCCCACTGTGCCCTCTCCAGCATCCAGGCCCACAGAACCCAAGAAGGCCATAAAATGTATCTTAAGCTACTATTTGGGGGGTAATTTGTTATACAATGTTTTAGTCAGCTTTTTCGCTGCTGTGATCTAAAGACCCAACAAGAACAAATTTAGAGAAGGAAAAGTTTATTTGGGGGCTCATGGTTTTAGAGGTCTTAGTCAATAGACAGCTGTCTCCGTTCTGTGGGGCCTGAGGTGAGACAGAACATCCTGGTGGAGGAAAGCAGCTGGGGACATGGCACCAGGAATGGGGTGGGGGACAGAAAGGGGGGAAGGGGAGGGGAAGAGGGAGGGGGAGGGGGAGAGAGAACACTCCATTCAACCAGGCCAAAATATAAACCCCAAAGGCACACCCCCAGGGACCCACCTCCTCCAGCCACACACCCCCTGCCTCCAGTTACACCTAGTTAATCCCTGTCAGGGGATTAATGCACTGATTGGGTTAAAACTCATACTCCAATCGTTTTCCATGGGCATGTTGCCTCGGCAAAAGTATCAATTATCACTATTCCAGGGGCATAACTCTACAGATACGATATTACACATTTTTTCTTTTCTTTTCTTTTTCTTTTTTTGGTCTCTGCAGGGATTTCTGAGATGGCTTCAGACATGGCTGACCCAAGCAGTCTGCCCTACAGTGCCAACTCCTGCCTTCCTCACCTCCCACCCCGGGAGGCCAGTGTGGCACTCTCTCTGTTCTACACAGTCCTCTTGGTCTTCAGCGCCCTGGGAAACATCCTTGCCCTTTGCCTTGCCTGTCAAAAGGACAAGAAGATCAACTCAACAGGTGTCTACTTGGTCCACCTGGCTGTGTCTGACCTCCTGTTCTCCTTGGCCCTACCAGGGAAGATCACCTATTACGTGCTGGACTTCAGCTGGCCTTTTGGAGACGGGCTTTGCAGGCTGACGGCGTTCATAATGTACTTGAACACCTATGGTGGGGTCTACCTCATGACCTGCGTGAGTGTAGACCGGTACCTGGCAGTGGTCTGTACCCATCAGAGCCAGCGGCTCCGCAGCACTGGCCGGGCCAAGCTCATCTGTGTGGCTGTCTGGGTCTTGGCACTTCTGCAGAATGTACCCTTGCTCCTGACCCCTATGGCCAAGCCCATGGCGGGCAAGCTGACCTGCATGGAGTATGTCAGCGTGGAGCCCATCCTCGGGCTGCCCGTCATGGTCCTAGCGGCCTGTGTTATAAGCTTCTGCATGCCGGTGGTGATCATACTGTTCTGTTATGTGAAGATCGCCTTGAAGCTATGCAGCACAGCCCGGGAGAACCCCGTGGCCAGTGGGAAGGGGCATCCCCGAAGGGCCTGCCTGCTCACGCTGGTGGTGCTAGTGGCCGTGGTCCTGTGCTTCAGCCCCTACCATCTCAACGTCATGCAGTTCATGGTGAGAGAGATGCTGGGACCACCATCCTGTGCTGAGCAGAGGGCTTTCACGCTGGCTCTTCAGGTCACCGTGTCCTTCATGAATGTGAACTGTGGCATTGACCCCATCATTTATTTCTTTGCCTCTACACGTTACAGGAAATGGCTTCTTGGCATTTTGAAACTCGGAGCATCTTCTTCCTCCTCCTTCTCCTCCTCCTCCCCAGGAAGAGCATCCTCAGAAACACAGACTGGAGGCTCTGTCACCATATTAGAGAACCAGGTCTAACCTGAAACTGGCTGGACGACCATGTATAGAGCAGGTGCCAGCACTTACAGGCCTGAAGCTTATACAAGTTTTTTTTTTTTTTTTTTTTTTAATGGTGCGGGGGTAGGTAGACTCTTTAAAAAAATAATGCAAAATAAGAAATACAGGGGCTGGGGATGTGGCTCAGGCAGTAGCACGCTCGCCTGGCATGCATGTGGCCCGGGTTTGATCCTCAGCACCACATACAAACAAAGATGTTGTGTCCACCGAAAACTAAAAAAAAAAAAAAATTAAAAATTCTCTCTCTCTCTCTAAAAAAAAGTTTTTTTAAAAAAGAAAGAAAGATATTGTGTCAACTACAACTAAAAAATATTAAAAAAAAGAAAGAAAGAAATACAGGTTGAGTACCCCTTATTTGAAATGCTTGGGTCTAGAAGTGTTTCAGATTTTGGATTGTTTTTTTGGAACATTTGCAGAGACATGAAATATCTTGGAGATGGGACCCAAGTCTAAACATAAAACTCATGTATGTTTCATATACAATTATATAGATAGCCTGAAGGTAGCTTTCTCCACCATTTTAAATAATTTTATGCATGAAATGAAGCTTCGTGGTGTGAAATTTTCTACTTGTAGCATCGTATGGCACTCAAAAAGTTTCAGATTTTTGGAGCATTTTGGATTTCAGATTTTCAGATTAGGGATGCTCAGTTAGTACAAATTAGTTCCAGGATCCTGCACGGGACCATAAGTGAGGTGCTCTGAAGCTTAAACTGCATCAGCCTGGGGAAGAATGTGCCTCTCATGCTCTAGGAACTGACAGCGGAGCTCCTTGACCTTTGACAACATACATGGCTTTTTTCTAAGAAAAGAGTGTTTCCATAGTAAACACAGGCAAGAGTGAAAGAATTGGCTGAGTTCTAGGTCAACAATGTAGAATGTTTCAGATTTGGGGAGGTGAAGTGTTATAAAGAGCAAAGGCATCTTCTGTCTCCCCCCAGAACTTCTAACGTTTGGAGCTAACATTTACTAAATGCCCAGGCTGTTCTGCAGAAGTCAGAGGAACAGGGAGGAGGTCCGCGGAGTGTCAGCGGGGCACCCCTGCAGAGGCCAGGGAGCGCAGCCCCTGGTAAAGGGCCTTGTGATTTCTTTTGCATGGTTCAGTTGTGGTTCAAGGACAAAGCCTTCATGTATTGCTTACGTGACTGGGAACCACGTGGGGCAAAGGGAAGAAGCCACGGAGGCAGACATAGTTGTTTTACATTTGTTTCGTGTGTGTCGGGCTAGACTCATCTATTTATGTGCCGTTCCTGTTAGATCTCCTCAAACTTCATTGCAACCTCATGAGTCTAAAACAGTTCCCAGAGCATTTTTACTTGGTCAACTTTGCTTTTTGTGTAATAAAGCTATGCTCCTCCCAGCCATGGTCAGTGCAGATGTCTATTTCAGCTACAGGCCCCAGTCCTTCCTGTTCATTGCCAGCATGGACGTCCCCTCTCCTGGACAGCCCCTCACTTGCCCTTCTGTCCCTCCAATGCTCAGGGTTCCAACAGGGTCCTCTGTGAGTCTCCCAGTCAATGTCACCCTGGAATTCCCTTCTGGTCCTGGAAGTCTGTTCTGTGCATCTTGAAGTTTTGGACCACATTTTAGACACTTAAGTCTCTTTCATGTGCTTTTGAGTGGACAATGTCTCATCCTGTGATGTTGTGATATAAGAAATAGATGCTTGGCTTTTTCCCTGGTGCCTGGCACAGAGTTCCTAAAGTCCCTGGAATCCAGGGTGACAGAGGAACATCTTTTGTTATTCCAGCCTTGTCCCTGAGATGATGCTGATGAGGTGACCCTTGCCAGGACCTTGAGGATGGGGGCTGGTTGCTGGAGAACCAAACCCTGTGATTGGAGGATTGGAACTATCAGTCCTGGCAGTTGACCTTCACGGTGCAGGGGCAGTAGGGGGTGGGAGGAGCCAGAGATTGAGTTCAGTCGCTAGTGGCCAGTGATTTCATCAACCATGCCTATTGGTGCTGGTGTGTCCCCCAAAGGCTCATGTGTTCAAGGCTTGGTCCCTCAGGCAACAATGTTCAGAGGTGGGGTTTGGGGAAGTCACTGGATCATGAGGGCTCTGACCTCATCAGTGGGTTAATCCACTGATGAATTGATAGCTGCATGGATTATTGGGACGCGATGAGGTGGGGACATTCAAGGGAGTGGGTCCTTGGGGGCATTCCCTTGGGGACCATATCATGTCCTCGGCCCCTTTCTCTGCTCTCTGTGCTTTTCTTCTCTCACCACATTCTGCCTCATCACAGGCCCAAAGCAATGGAGCCCGCTGACCATGGACTGAAACCTCTGAAACTGTGAGCCACAATAAACCTTTCCTCTTCTAAATCGATCCTCTCAGGTATTTTTGTCACAGTGATGACCAGCTTATTAACATGCCTGTGTAACGGAACCTCCATGAAAGCCCCTTTAGAATTATCTGAACAGACTTAGAAAGAGCAGGTACCTGCTGAGGGTCTCTGGTGTTGGACTTTGGACATGGGGAAGGGAGCAGCTTCGGGACAGAGGAAAAGGTGAAGGTGGACTGGAGGAAGCAAGGAGAGAGTGGCAGAGAGGAAGGTGTCATGCAGTCGGGCCCCACTTGCCCCCAGAATACCACCAGAGGGCCTGGCCGGGCCAGAGACAGTCTCACAACTCACACCAAGCAGCCCCGCTGTTAACCACGCTCAGACCCTCGCCACCTGGGTTTTCCTCCGTTCTTCCACCACAGGTGTGGTTTCTGATCTTGATGGCCTACTGAGATTTACCAGTGACATCAGTCACCCCCGTCCCCATGGCCAGCTCCTGAAGATCTGAGTAGATCTGAGCAGAAGAGAGGATAGAGCTTTCAAAACAACAATTGCACAGAAGTTAAGCAAGCACACAAGACTTTACTCAAGACCGTTGCTCTGGGGGACAGAGGCCAGAGCTCCATCAGAACGACACAAAGGGCTGGAAGGTTTTTAAGGGCTAAGGTGAGTTAGTGGGAAAGTCCTGAAGGGTAAGCAGTGGGAGTCAGAAGGTCATCTGGGTTTGCTAGTTGGCTTTCTCTAGAGGTGAAATCAACACTCATATCTTTATAGTGGGAGGTAGTTTTGGAACTTGGGGCAGTGTGCCCACCCTCCCTCAGGGACTGAGAGTTGGGGGTGTGATCTTCCCTGATAACTGCATTTCAAAGAGGTGCTCACTATCCTTGAGAAAGTCTTTGCTGGGTTGTAGAGGATCTACAAGCCAAAGACAGAATTTACAACAACAGGTTTTCTAAAGTAAATGCACCAAGAGAGAGAAGGTCGGGGCCTAGAGTCAGGAAGAAGCCCGTTGTAAAGCTTAGTCAGGTGAGCCAGAGGTGAGGCCCATCGTGGTCAGGAACTCTGGACATAGCCAGTGTTTGTTGGCACCTATAGGGTACTCAGTCCTGTAGTAGGTTCAGATGGTACTGCCAATCTGCCAGTGACAGCTGCTCTCCCATTCACTAGTGTTTTCAATTTTCCAGGCCCTGGACGAAGCCATTCACGGGAATGATCTTTTTGTATTTCTCAGGATAATTCACATGGGTACCACTGTTACTGCCACTCAACAGGTTAGGAAATGGGAATACCCTCGAGTGCCACCGGGAGTAGGCAGCAGAGCTGGGGCTCAAATCCAGGCCTGTCTGACAACTAAGCCCATGTTCAAATTCACATTGGTCGCTAATAGGTAGTGTGAGCAGGCCCCAAGCTCATGAAGACATTGGTGTGACCATGGAGGGTTCTAGAGCCCGAGACTTTGTGGGGCTGGTTCTGTGACAGCCTGCCCAACACAGTAGTCATTTGGTAAGTTTTGGAACAAAGCTTCTCTAACTTGTCTATGCACAGGTACACATCACCTGGGTAGTTGGTAAAAGGCAGATTCTTCTAGATCTGGGTGGGGCCTGAGAGTCTGCATTTCTTTTCCTTCTTTTAAAAATTTTTTTAATATTTATTTTTTAATTGTACACAAAACCTTTATTTTGTTTCTTATTTTTATGTAGTGCTGAGGATCGAACCCAGGGCCTTGCACGTACTAGGCAAGTGCTCCACCACTGAGCCACAACCCCAGCCGGAGAGTCTGCATTTCTAACAAGCTTCCAGGGGATGCTGATCCTGCTGGCTGAGGGGCTGTGCTCTGAGCCCCAAGGTTTCAGAAGACACGAAGTTCAGATCTGCTGGGCTGTTTCCTTCCCTGCTTTATTCCCACACCAAACCATGGTGCCTCGATTTTGTCTGCACATTGGAATCATCTGGGGAAATTTTTTAAATCCTGATGCCTGTTGGGATCCCATCTCCAGAGATTCTGACTTAGTTGGTCTGTGGTGTGTCCAGGGCATTGGGGTTTTTCAGAGGTCTCCAGTGATTCTGATGTCTGACCCGTTTTGAGAGTCAGGGTCCAAAGGATAGAAGAGATTTGAGAGACATCTTGAAGGTGAAACCACAAGAGGACACCTTTATATATAATATATAAAATTTATATATAAAAATTGAGGAACAATGGTTTGGGGTGGGAACAAACCCCATTAGCTATAAATTCCAGCTGGACACTCGGGCAGGACTGATGTTTCTTTAGGGATCATTTATCTTTGCTCTGAAGGCCTTCAGTTGATTATAGGAGGCCCATCCTTCACCCCAGTTATGGAGAGTACTCTCCTTCACTGAAGTCTACCAGTTTAAATGGAACTGCAAACCAGACAAATGAATAAAGAATCCCTTCATTATGATATTTGCACTAGTGTTAGACCCGCTGGGCACCATGGCTGGCCAAGTTGACACATGAAGTGAACCATCAAGGTCAAATGTTTATGGTAACCCAGTCCGAGGTGGGCCTGGGGAGAATGTCAGCTTGGTTTTGTAGAACAGGAAGTGGGGAGGTACTGAGATCACTGAGGTGGCTGGTGTAGGGCAGGGAGGTTCCCCTCACTACTGTACGCTTTCATCATCCCCAAATGACCCAAGTCAGTGAGTTGTCCACAGACTTCTTGGAAAAAAAGTCGCCTTTCGGTTAAATTGCTTTGTTTGTTTTGCGGATGATG